AAAAAAAAAAAAAAAGGGAAGGTGGTGGGATCTTGGAGGTCCTTTCTCAGCTGTCTATTGACAAAGACCAAACCAATATTTTTGAGTAACGGTGTCTGCTATAGACTGAATTGTATCCCCCTCCCCCAGTTCATATGTTGAAGCCCCACATCTCAATGCGATTGTATTTGGAGATAGGGCTTTTAAGAGTTCATTAAGTTTAACGAGGTCTTAAGGGTGGGGTCCTAGATAGGATCAGTGGTCTTAGAAGAAGAGGGAGCCATCTCTCCACCTGTAGTGACGTAGGAAAGGCCACTTGAGGACACAACAAGAATGTAACCATGTGCAAGCCAGGAAGAGAATCCTCATCAAAAATTGAAATTTTGGACGTTGATCTTGGACTTTCTAGCCTCCAGAACTGTGAGAAATAAGTATCTCTTGTTTAAACCACCCAGTCTATGACGTTTTCTTCTTGTGGCGCAACTAGACTAATAAACTGTTTTAGCCTGGTTCCCCAGAAAGCAGAACCTGGGATGAGATCCCTGCAGGAAATGGGATTAAAGACCAGAGTGAAATAGGGAACTGCAGTAGCAATATATGTTCAGTCCTGCAGGAACCTCAGAAGGTCTCCAATCTGTTTGTCCTGGGGAAAAGAAGAAAGCATTTAACTGTAGCCTCACCATTCCCTCTGGTTGTGGTGATTCTGGGGTTATTAATTCCCCTGGACAGTTCCTTGGCAGTGGTGAGCTTTAAGCACAGTCCTATGCTGAGGCATCTAAGAGGCCCAGGGGCGGGCAGCAGCAGGTGCATGGCATGGCTAGAGGTGAGGCGCTGTCAGATTGCCCCACAAGGAACCTGGAGGAAGCCTAGGCAGGGCTGGCTGCTGCAGAGGCAGTTGGGGTGAGGTGAGGCTGAGAGAATGTGAGAGGTTCCAATGTGTGTACTGAGTCAATAGCATATCATTATATGTAAAAGTTAGCATCTCTGCCTGAAAACATGCAGAAAAGGGATGCTTTCAGCATACTGACTATAGAGACTTTTATCATGAAGTATTTCTTCTGTGGCCTCAGGACTACATTGTGTGCTATGGGAATATCTCCAAAGTAGATGATTCAGGCCTGAGTGGGCTGGCATCTCCTGCAGCAGTCAAGTGCAATCCACATGCATAATCAGGTATCAAAGTGCAACACCGATGTCAATCTTTGGTGAAGGGCGGTGCAGGGAGATTAAACGGAAGAGAGACCAGGAGGAGCTAGAGCGATTGTACAGGGTTTGATGTGGAGCAAGAGGCTGTGCCAGGACTGAAAGAAGTAATGAGAGAACATACAAAGGTTTGAGTGAGAAATGCTTGCATTAGCAACAGTGAGTAGGTGGGCCTGGGTGGGGCAAAGGGCAGCTCCCGGGACACCGTGGCAAATGAGGTCAGTCACTGGGACATTGGGCTACCCCCCACTGGCTGTGGGATCCAGGTGAGAGAGTGACCCGCCATGGACTTCAGTTATACCCTCTGTGTGATGAAAAAAGGAGAAAGCCTTCCCTGACCCAACACAGACAATATTCCAAAGTAGCAGAGCTATGAATGGGAGCAGGATACAGAGAGGAAATAAGCCATATTTCATCTAAAGGCAATTAGTGTAATGAAGAATGGTGATGACAGCTTCCTGGCCTACCAACACCACATTTCCTATTCAAAATTAGAAGACTCAGAAAAGAGCTAGTTTTTCATCTCTTCCTGAAGTATTGTGGCTTTGAGGTGGAAATCTGTGGCAAAGAGCTTTTTAGCCTTGAGAAAAGCATTCTTTCCCATAGTCAAGTCTTGCGTGTGGTTTAGATCTATGAGGCAGGGTAATGTAATGGTTAAAAGGTGCTCTGCCACTTACCAGCAGGTTACTTAGCCTTCTTTAGCTTCAGTTTTCTTCTGTGTACAATGCAGATGGTCACGTTTGCCTCATAGTGTTGCTGTATTTAATGAGCTAAGTATGTACAGTGCTTAGCACAGAGTCTGGCATCCTGAGAATGTTCGTCTGTGGGAGAGTCAATCCTGTTGTAATGATATAAAATCCTGTGTCCTGACCCCAGCTAGGAATGGGGTGGCTGGAGCTCTGTGCCTGCAGGCCTTTGTACATCTTCCCATTGCTCAATTTATCATTTAGAATTAGAATTAGTTACTTGAGGGGTGCTGGGTGGCTCAATCAGTTAAGCATCTGACTTCAGCTCAAGTCATGATCTCCCGGTTCGTGGGTTCGAGCCCCATGTTGGACTCTGTGCTGACAGCTCGGAGCCTGGAGCCTGCTTCCGATTCTGTGTCTCCCTCTCTCTCTGGCCCTCCCCCACCGACACTCTGTCTCCTCTCTCTCAAAAATAAACAAACTTTAAAAAATTTTTTTTAAAAAGAATTAGTTATTTGATTATATCTCTCACTTGAATGTGAGTTCCTTGGGGGGTTGACTATATTTTCCTTCTCTGTGAATCTGCAGGGCAGCACATGTCCTGGCATTTAGTGAGTTCTCAAAAAGTTTTCACTGAATGAGTGAGTGAATGAAGGGAAGTAGGAATGAGATTGAAAGGAATATAGCTTTTGGAGTCATTTGAAACTCAAGAAAAATATTAGAACTTGTATTGTGTTGAATGAAAACATGGGAGAAGATTCAGGGATTTAAAACTCACTTAATGTTTCGGTTACAGTGAAAGTCAAAATTAAAAAATATTTTTTGAACACGGCAAATCATATATCTTATAAAGAACTTGTATCTAGAACATATAGAGAGCCGTCACCTTCAATAACAAGGGAACAAACAACTTAAATAACAAATAGGCAAAAGCTTTAAACAGACACTGCACCCAAGAAGATATACAGACAGTAAATAAATATATGAAATGATTTTCAAGACCATTAGGCATTAGGGAAATGAAAATATATACCACAATGCTGTACTACTATGCCTATTAGAGTGGTGAAAGTTAAAAAGGCTGACCATACTAAGTGTCACCAAGGATAATGAGAAACTGGAACTCTTACACACTGCTGATAGGACTGTAAAATGGTGCAATCACTTTGGAAAATAGTTTGGCAGTCTTAAAAAATGCATAACTACTTAGTTTCCTAGAGCTACCATAACAAATTGCCACAATTAGATGGTTTAAAACAGCAGGCATTATTCTCTCCCAGTTTTTTAGGCTCGAAGTCCAAAATCAAGGTATTGGCAAGGTTGGTTGTTTCTTGGGTATGAAGGAGCATTACTTCCAGGCCTCTTTCCTAGCCTCTGGTGGTTGCTGACAACCCTTGGCATTCTTGGCTTATAGTTGCATCAGTGTAAAGTCTACGTCCATTGTCCCATTGCCTTCTTTCCTGTGTATCTCTCTGTGTCTTTGTATGGACTTCTTATAAGGACATCCATCATTGGATTTATAAAATTCTGGAAAATTCAAACTGATCTGTGGTGGCAAAAAACAGATTAGTGATTGTCTGGAGATGGGAATGGAAATAGGGGGTTAGTGAGAGATATTTAGCTGAGCTAAAAGGGAATGGACAAGTATTCTAGACAGAAGGAATAGAGGTAAGAGTGGAGTACTTGAGAAAATTGTGGAGCAGAGGGATTGGGTATGGAGATGGGAGGTTCTGGAAGCATTGGGGCTAAATAGGAAAGCTGGGGCTAGGTCCAAAGTCATGTTAAAAACCTTTATGCTAAAGCCAACAGGAAGCTATTAAGGGGTTTCACTGTGACCAGATTCATGTGTTATATTTTAGAGAGAACATCCCTGCTATAGAATGGAGAATGGATTGGACATGAGTGTGCTTTATAAGGATGAGGAGGCTGCTGCAGGAATCTGGATAAAGAGATGACTCTTGTCTGGACTAGAAAGGAGATAGTGGAAGATTGAGAGAAGCGAACACATGTTGCAAAATGTTTAAGAGGAGGAATCATCAAGACCAGGTGTACTGGGGAGAAAGAGGAATTATCAAGAATGATGTCCCAATT